CCACAAACTGGATTTTGCAGTTCCACCCCCACCCTGCCCATCAGAAGCACGGTTCTGCCTCACTTGTGACTAAAAAAGAGGAAACGCAAACGCTGTATCACAACTCCGGCACAAATGCAGGGCCGAACAGCAGCTCTGGGGAATGACGAGCGCCAGCTGAGCCCTGCGGCACACAAAGCGCTCCGGGCTGAGGCACCGCAGCGCCGCCGCCAGAGGATATCTCTGCTTCGGTGGACGCGGCCGAGAGCTGCTCGGGAGAGATCTCCACTCGGTCCTTCCTCTTATCCGAGCGGCGCAGGATGATCACGGAGTGGATGTGGACGATTCTGCTGGTGTCGACCTGGTAGAGAGAAAACGGCTGTTCCTCCGCTATAGGAACGGCCGCCTCAGGAGGGGGGCGCTGGGCAGGGCCGTGGCGGGACGCCGCCCGCTGTAGACGGCGCTGAGGGTGACGGCGAGGGCCGAGCGCGGTACCTCTCCGATGCAGAGCCCCATGACCTCCTCCTTCTCGGTACTCAGCGCGTGGTTCAGACACACCAGGAACGCGTCGGCCTCCAGGTGCACGGCCTGCACAGCCATCTTGCAGCCTCTCGTCACCCCCGCCGCCGCCGGAAGTAGGCTGGGCCCACCCCCCCGGAGCGCTGTGCGGACGGACCAATCCTGGAGCGGCTCCCGGCCTCCTTCAGCCAATCGGCGCGGCTGACTTCCGCTGCTGGGGGCGGGCGCTGCCTCGCTACGGAAGTTCCGTGTGGACCACGCGAGCGGCGGTCCCGGGGTTCCGCGCGGCGCTCGCCTCCCGCACCGGGGCGGGGCCCGGGGCGTGGGGGGCGGGGCGGGGCGGGGCTCGGCGGCGGCGGCCATTGGGGCCCGCGAGCAGGAGGGGGGCGGCGGCGGGGTCAGGGGGGAGGGCGGGGAAGGCTTCGCCGGGCGCGCACGGCGCGGGCTGTCAGCGGCGCGGGGCCGCAGGTAGGTGACGGGCGGGGGGGCGGTTGCCACGGAGACGCGCCGCGCCCCCCTCCCCGCACCATCGGCCTCCCTGCGCTTCTCCCCCCGCCGCGCTCCCGGCCCGTTTCGTCTCCTTCGGATCCCGCCGAGCCGCGTCCCGGCGGGGTGCGGGTTGGCCCCGGCAGCGGCCTCCGCGGTAGAAGCTCGGAACGCGGCGCCTTCGTCACGGGACGCGCTCCTTCCGCACGCCGCTCCGCGCTCGAGGCCGGCCCAGCTCCGCGCTGCGGCCTGCGGGGAGCGAGGAGGGAAAGGCGGGCACCCGGCGGGCTCCGGAGCCCCGAGCCGCACGGCCCGGCACCGCCCGGGTTGCTGCGTGGTGCCGAGAGGAGCGGCGGTGCCGTCGGAGCGTGACGCTGCATTCTGGGTGCTGCCCGGGGGCTGTTTGTAGGTGCGCGTTACGAACGGGGCGCTGGAAGGAGCGGTTTGTAGCGCTTGTTTGAGGACTCAGCGAGCTGACTTTGTTTTTTTTCAGCCCCGCCTTCCTAAGGGCTCTTTTGTTGCTTGCTGATAAAATCGGTGACAAAGTAGGAATTGGAGACGTTTTTCTCTTCCTGGAGTTGCGCTGTGGCTCTCAGCCTGCGTCTGGCCGCGGCTCCCCTTTCCTCGCTGTGTTTGGATCGCTGATATCCCCGTCCTGCTCCAAACCAAAAGCGGTTTTGCCTGACCTGCAGCTTGTCTGGCAGCACAACCTTGAGCCTTCCACCCTGAGCCCACAGCTGTGGAGTTTGGGGGAGGTTTGGGTCTGATGAAAGGGGCGAAGGCTGAAAAGAACACTGCAAACTGATGCCTGTTCTGCTCCGGGTCCTCAGGGTGAGACCTCACTCTGTGCACCCATCCCACCACCGTGTGTGTGCACAGGGGGCACAGACGTACAGTTGTGCTGTAGTCCTCTTGCCTGCAGCCTAATCAGCAAGCTTGAAGCAGGCCCGTGTTGGGACAGGAGAGGTTACCTGCTGTAGGACATGGTGGTGTTTGCTGACTGATGTTACTCTTCCACTGCTGAATCAGTGCTGAGCTGACGGCGTCTCCTCTTTCTGTAGAAATTCCAGCTTCGAACAGGCTGTGAAAGCAAAGTTTTGGGGGCATGATGGAGCTTTTGGCATTTTACCACAGAGTAGGAGAGTGTCCTGGCCAAATTCCAACCTGGGTAATTACATTCTGCTGACTGAAAAATGAGCAGCGGCGATTGCTGCCTTTCACTGCCGGGCAAAGCACACATAGGCTTGAATTTGTGAAGCAAAGTAGGGTGAAGCAGAATGACTCGGGCTTACAGAAACATCACTGTAACTCTCATAGCTCGTTCCTGAAGGCCTTGTGAGGTTTGTTTGGCTGCTGTTGCATTCCTGCTGATGCCAGTGCTGGGGCACTGCTTGGAATGGCTGCAAGGCATTGCAGGATGGCAGCGGTGCTCTTTGCGTCACACCTCCACATTCCCACACATCAAGCAGGGGAACAAACAGAACAGGAGAAAAAAAGAGATATTAAAAGAACGTTCCAGTCCTAAATTGCTGTGACAGTGCTGCTGGGGCTGACCTGTGGTTGGTGTTTTGTTTTCAGAAAGGCTGAGTGGCCCTTTGGTTCCAAAAGGTAGAGAACCACAAGTGTACGGTGTAGAAGGCAACGTGGAAGTGTGTTTCCTGTTCTGTCTGTATAACAATATTTTTCTCTCCCTGACCTTCCCTGCTTTATTTTGTACCCAGATGTTCTTGCCTCTGTCTGAAACATGCCTTGTAACTTCACACGCTTTTGGAAGATCACTGTGTTTCGCTGGGATAGGAATATTGCATCTGCTTCATAGCAGGAAGATGTTACATGTATTGCAGCTTAATTCTGTTCTACTTTAAACCTAGATAAAGAATGAAGACTGTCCGTACCATTTTGATTACCTCTTCTAGGGTTCAAAGACAGAATCATTTTCCCAGACCTCCGCTTGCTAATGGCTCAGCTTGATCTAAGCGGTGTGCAGACAAACTGGCTGATAAACCAAAACCCTTTTGGGAAGAGCCACCTCCATGTCCCAAATTCAACTCCTGCTGATGTTGTCGGCTCTTGGTAAGCACCTTGAGTCTGAGCCACACGACGTGACGAGAGCTGCTTGTGAGAAGATGGTGTGAGTGCGGACCACGCTGCCGTGCCCCCAAGGGATGAGAGGAAGGACCTGCACAATGACAGCTCCGCGAGTTCCCGGCGTGAGAGTCCAGCATCTGGAGTCTCATGCTTTGTCTCCAGATTGATCTCCGTTCTCTTTAAGCTGTCACAAGTTTTGCTTTCGGGATTTAGACCGCCGTCAACCGCAGAACTCCTGCCTCAATCACATCTTTATTTTTCTTCCCACTCCCCCCCCATCGTTTTACACGAAGACTGTTAATAGGACCGCTAGCGGAATAAGCAAAGCCAATACTCACAGGGTTTAACCTACGGCACCTTTTGCCCCAGAATGCCTTACAAACGCCGCTCAGCACACGCCTCCCACAGCACAGCCCGCCCAGAGACCTCCTTCCACCCGGCCACCACCTTAATTGCCCAGAGCCTCTTCTAGGGACGCTTCGACGCGTCGCATCTCCCGCCGTAGGCCGGCCGCCCCCCGAGGTGCCTTTCAGCTCCCAGAGCTCTCCCCACGGATGTCCTGGGAACGAAGGAGCTGACGCCACACGGCTGACGGAGCGCAGAGGAGTGACGGGGGATGGCTGAAGGAGGGCAGGCCGGCGCTCCCCCCGTGCGGCTGTGGGTGCGACGCGTAGGTGTGTACTGCGATGAGCACCGCAGGACGTGGCTCGTGGCTGCGGAAGAGGCAAGTGTCCTTTGGGCTTCGCCGGGATTGTAGCTTTGCTGTCGCAGGTGCCTCTCCTGCGTTGCCAGTAACTGCCTCCTCTCTTTGTTGCTTTCCACCAGGAGGAAGGTATGCTGAGGGCTCGGATCCAAAGAGTTCAGGTTCCCCTGGGTGAGGCGCTGCGACCCAGCCAGCTCCCCCCATCCCGGCTGCCTCACATGTGGCAGCTGTCCCAGGGTGAGCAGTACAGGGATAGTAACTCTCGCGTTTGGGAGATAGAGCACCATCTCATGGTAAGGATGGTGGCGACAATAGACCATAGTCATTCCTGTTTGTGAAGTCATTTGAGATCCTTGAGGGACGGCAGAGGACTGTTATTGTATTGAAGTCCAGTAGCTCTCAGCCACAGTAACTGCAGCCGTATTGAACTTTTCCTTGTCGCTTACAGCTCGGTGGTGTTGAAGAACTGCTGCTTAAACTCGTGCCTGGTGATTAATCTGGTATGTGGAGACATTACCCCCGCTTTGTGCTGTGCTCTGTTTATTCCTCGTCATTCTTTAATATGAATTTTTGTCTTTCAGGAGCAGTGGCTCTAGGAAGATGTCCTTGTATGTTTTGTACAATAAATGATTCTCTCTCCACTGAAATGCGACCACCCCTGAGGTGGAAGCAGTTAAACAACACACAGCAACATCACATGAGTTTAGGACAGGCAGTGAAGAGGAGTATCGTGCCCAATTGAAACGTCAGGGGGAGTTCTAGGTAGGCAGAATGTAATTGCCCTACGTGGAGCTTGGCCAGGATGCTGGAAATAGGCATAGAAGTGCCATAGGGCAGAGGCTGGGCAGGAGGCTGACAGCAGCCCCAACTCCAGGCAGGGCTGAGCTGTGGCACTGCAGGGACTGAAGTCCTGTGCTGTGTACGGCCACAGCAATGCTTTCATTCTGGGCTCTCCCACCCCTCTGCTGCTCCCCCCACTTTTTCTTTGTCTGTTGGTTTCTCATGAGATCCCGGTGACGGGTGGGTGCTGCAGCTGCAGAAAGTCAAACTGATGGCCTGATGTCCGCTTTCTGGGAATCTGATAATGGCAGAGCTGTTTCTTTTGGGGGAATCCCAAGAGGATTTCTCTTGCAACAAAAAATCCCCCCTTGTTGTTTTTCTGGGACAAACATAACGATGTTGTTCTGCTGTTTTTTCCCCAAGTTCCTCCTCCAGATGCAGTTGCATGGCTGTGCCAAACTCCAGGATGCACAGAGCTCGCAGAGAGGGCTCATCTTTTAGCAACAGGTTTAAAGGCATAGAGCTGTTAAAAAAGAGCCGTGTTCATGTGAGTCGTTGTTGGAATCTTTGTGCTTCCAAGTGGAAAAGGACACACACTGCAACCAGGGGGAAAAGGGAAGGGCCTTCAGGCGTAGCTCCTACAACTTCCCTGCGCTCATGGCCAACGTTGACGGCCTCCAGCCAGGCCCAGGGGTGCATTGGGAGGCAGCTGGCAGGTTGCTCCCCAGGAAAGGAGTGCTGTGAGCATTTTGTGCGTTCATTGGGAGTGTGGGGAATCCCATCTGTTGGCAGCAGGTGCATCCTGACCACCTGCAGTAGGGAGGGAAGCCAGGAGCTCTTTGCTCAAAGGCGCTGTTTTGCCCCCCTGCCTTCCCCAAACGTTATTTCTACAGTAACATTTTCCTGTCGTTTTAGTTCTCTGAACATGTCCCAGAAGGATCCCTGCCAGAAACAAGCCTGTGAAATACAGAAATGCTTGCAAGGTACCGAGCATCATTTTGTCTTTTTGGTGTCTTGAGTTTTGGTGGAACCGAGTTCTTTTCACATCTCCCTGTTCTCCTTTCACTTGAGGAGGAAGCAAGCAAGCGCGCGAGCGTGACCTGAGCACAAAGCCAACCAAATGGCAGCGACTGGTTTTAAAAGAATTCCTTTGTGCTTGATTGTAAGGAGCGAGGCACAAAACGCAGCGTTTCTCACAGCTTTTCCAAGCTGAGCATTCTCCGTGCCTTAGTGAGAGGCTGTGTGTAGTCTCAGGACTGAGCTGTAGGTGGGGAGAGCCAGACTTGTGAGCTGTGTTGGAGTGGGAGGTGAGGCTGTGGGTGGGTGGAGCGAGGACACACAGAGCTTGGAGCTGCGGGCACAGAGATGCTGCAGGAGCAGCCAGGTGTGTGCCTGGCCTGGGGGCAGCAGGTGGGCTGAGGGCCTCTGGGAGGCCTTGACGGCTGTTTCGTGTTAATTGAGCAAAATAGGCGGTGGGAAAATGGAGGTTAGGTGATAACGTGCTTCGGGTGCCTGAGCTGGGGAAGGCAGGTTGGTGACTCGCAGAGACAAATATGCTTCTAAACAATGCAGTTGCTAAAAATGGGATGAATAAGAGAAAGCGTTTCTGTGTGTGCGTGCAGCTCGGGCACGTTGGGAAGGGTGTTTTCTGAGTCACCCAGCAGAGCTCTGTGTGTGTGAGGAGCTTTGCTGGAGGGTGACTGGCTGAGAGCCCAAGGCTGAGAGTAACAGCAGTGCTAGCAGCAGCTGGGCATGTTAGCCGAAATGGAGTGGAGGGATGGCTTTGCTGCCTGCAGCAAGTGTTGTGGTGCAGCTGGTGTGGTAACAGCCCCCGATGGCTGGGGAATGGCATGGGAAGAGAAACATGGGGGAGAAGCAGGGAGAGGCAGCGTTCAATCAGTGGATATCTGTGTTCTCCAGGATTGTTTATTTGGAAGCTGTGTTCAGCTCAAAGGAAGGGCTCCGATAATCCTCTCCTCGTATCCCCAGCACTTGTAAACAGGCTTTGCTTTTGGTGTTTGGCCCTCTGCGGGTCCTATTATGACAGTGCTGTTTTCATGGCTTTCACAGAGGTTCTTCCAAGTGATGCACTCTCACAGGTCTGTGTACAGATGTGATCTGGATGGCTCAGTGTTACCAAGGGGGCTTTTCCTCTGCTGCACGCACACCTCGCTGCCCCACCACTTCTGTGGCCAACATGTTGGAGAGCTGTTGTTTGTGCTGTGATATTGCCTGAGTCGCACAGATGAAGCAGCTGAGTTGACAGCAAAGCAGTTTTTCCTGCAAGAATTAATGCAATAGAGGAAGTAAAGCAGAGCCTGCAGTGACCAGTGCACACAGATGGTGTGGAGGATGAGGGAGGAGGAGGGCAGGAGCAGGGAGGTGCAGCTTCTCAAAGCCATTTTGCAGAGGATGACTGTTTCAAAAGATGTTGCCTGCTTTCTCTGTGAGACTGAATGCCCACTGTAAACCATAAACTTGATCTGTGTTTTGCCATCCATCGTAAGATTGCCCTTCTGGAGCGATCCCTGATGGGTAGCAGGGCATAGAGCTGTGGAAACAGAGCTGCACAGGGATGGTTAGGAGAACCCTTGGAGCATGTGTGGTAGGAACATGAGGGCAGGGAGGTGTCAGCTCTCCTTCCCAGGTTTGTGCCTTCTGGGCTGCCAGCTTCCTCCTGAACCCCCCCCCACCCCCGAGCAGCTGGGGCTTTGGGCAGCAGGTGGAGCTGAAGGTGTTCTTCCCAAGGCTCTGTTGGCCCTGCTTTCTGAGGGCTGGGCAGAAGCCCCGGCGGGGCTGAGCCCCTGCTGTCACTAATCAGTCAAGATGGGATGAGCTGCCAGCCCTGTCCTGGGGAAGATGCTGCCCATCCCATCTCATAGGGTCTGAGAGCATCCTCCTGGGAAGGAAAGGAGAGGCGAAGGCAGCACTGAGACGTGGCTGAATGCCTCCCCAAGCCGGAGGTGGGAGCTCAGTGCAGGAGGGCTCCTGTTGGTGCTTTGGCTGCTGGCAGCAGAATGGCTTCCTGTGAGCAGTGCCGTGCAGAGCCACATCCTGCCCACAGCAGGCTGATGGTGGGAGGGCTGCAGCCACACGGCCCACCTCTTCCTCCCAGCCCTCCGTGGAAGGCAGGTGCACTTGTCCCCATTTATATCAACTCCACTTTGCAAGCTCTTAATTGTACTGCTGTACACCTTGCAGTGATGAGGCAGCTGGGCTGAGCCAGCTGAAAAGCACTCGGGATAAAAAAGTACAGAGGAAAGGGACAGCAGACAGAGAAACCTCATTGCTGCTGTAGTGATGCAATAGATGCAAAACAGGGGGACTGAACGTGCTCCTGGCCGTAGCTGCAGGGCTGACAGCTTCCTACCCAGCTGACAGCAAAGGGAGATTGTAGAGCAGGGGAAGTGGTGGAGCATCGGTAAGCAGGGCGTCCTTTTCAAAGCAGGGCACCACCCAGCATCCCAGGGTCAGACACATCCCCCCAGGGAACAAAAGCAGCTCTCCTGTGTAGACTTGGTGTCTCCTTCTTATTTTCCAGCGAACAACTACGTGGAGTCTAAGTGTGAAGCTGTGCTTCGAGAGATGAGGAGGTGCTGTGCCCGGTACCCCGAGGGCAGATCCATCTGTTGTTCAGGTTTTGAGAAAGAAGAGAGAGAAAAGCGTAGAGCTACTTCAGGAGGAATTCCCCCACCACCTCAGTAACACAAAGCAGCTCCAGCAGGTGCCAGAGCACGGACTCACCTACGGAGCCCAGGTGTGTGTTTGTGAGCCTTCTCTAGACTTTCTGGAAAGCCAGAGGGCTCCTAGAACACACCACCCCGCGCACCAAAAAGCAGTACCAAGAGATGGCCTGGTTGATAGACTTCATTTTCTGTACCAAATCATCATCTACGTTGTCCTCGCGTTGCATCCGTGTCCGTGAAAAATCAATCTGATGCGTTTAGAATGCTTACCTTACTCTAACCCATCCCTGCTCTCAAAATGGAGGGCTGGAACCAAGTTACTGTGGCTTCTGGAGGGGGAGGTACAGGAAGCGTGCTCTTAAGAATGAGTGTAAGTGTGACACATGAAAACAAAGCCCATTTCGACACAGCAAAGGTGTTGCTGCCGTCGGGCAGCAGCTCCAGGCAACATTCACCTGTCCAGGGGTTCAAGCTCAAGAATGGGAATCGGGTCTGGGGTTTGATCCCAGGTCTTGCATAGCTCACGGTGACCAGGCGTCACTCTGCCTAAGTGCCTCACTTTCCCCCTGGACAGAGTTTAGATGACTTTCTGTCTGAATTGCCTACACGCTGCTATTTGCATGACAATAAAGATGTTACAGGAACATTATTTCAGGGATTGCTACAGGAATAGGATCTTTTTTTTTTTTTTTTTTTAAAGAAAAAAAAAAAAAGAAAAAGAAAAAAGAAAAAGCAATATTCGTTTGGAAATCCTGACTGTTGATATAAAATTTATAAATTTCTGTATAATTGAAGACCTTTAAGCAATACGTTACCAATCCAGCATATCTGGCTGTGCTGGAACCCAGAGGCCTATCACAAAGCCCTGGGCTAGATCCAAGAACCGATTTAGGTGCCACTTCTGAACACCACAGTCGTAGGCACCCTCTGTCAGTACAGCACTTCAGACTCACACACAACCCGATCCGTCTGCGTCTGGACCCCAGGGAGAGATGGCTCCTCAGAAACTCTCACCTGCGCAGCAGAATTTCCTGTGACCTGTAGGAAGAGCTCGGTAGTCAGGTTCCTGCATCACCCTTCAGAGCTGCCTCTGTCTCTCCGTCCACTGTAGCAGGAGTCCAGGCACCTCAGTGGGTGCCAAGTCCATTGCAGGGCCCAGGCACCACAATACCAGACTTCGAACCCACTAGGCTCCTAACTCTGTCATTAGATCTAGCCGTAAAGGACTTTTGTGCTGTGATAATTAACTACAAAATACAGCTTCTATAAACAGACCACTGTAGTCTAGGCACAATAGTTGAGTGTATTGAAGCCTAGAACGGCAAACCATCTGTACCTGCTGCTCTGAAATACCATAACACAAAATAAATGACTGGAACAAACTGCAGCCTGTGTGGTTGTTTACTGAGAGCAGCTGTAAGCTGGGCTGCTTGGCTACGTGTGATATCATCAGGTTGAAATAGAAGCTGCTTGGTATTTTTATAACTGGGACTCGGGCTCAGATTAATTCAGGGCTACCCTGCCCTCCCCCCCACAAGAAATGACAATGACAGAACGGGGGTGTTGGGGCAGGAGGTGCTTGGAAAGCAGAGGCAAAGGATGACAACGATGAGAAGCAGCTCAATCACTTCACTAGTGGCTCATTTTTCCCTCCTGCCTGAGGAGCAGCAGGAAGAAAATCATTTACTGTACATCAAACAGTTGTTCAGGCTTCTGTTGCACCCACTGAAAGGAAACCTCTGTCTCTGTGCCCAGTTCTGCTCAGGTGGAACGAACTGGGTGAGCTGAGAGATGAAGACATGCGGGTCCCCGAGGAGTCAGCAGAACTCACACAGAAATTAAAGCAAAACCGTTTAATAAAATATCACTTCAACAAGCATTTACATGTAATATATAAAAAGACTTTAAAAAGCCTAGTGTGTTTTAAACCCTCCTGTGCTGGCACAGATGCCAGAAGTGGCTGACACAGAACAAAAGGGATGTGTGGGTTGGAAGGGTGGGGGGGAAGGACCTCACCTTGGCACCTACAGTAACAGAACTGCATCCCCAGGGGCTGATGGGGCACCAGAACTCGCAGTGTGGGCTCACAGCATCCACCACCACCAGCCACGAGTCTCACAGTGGCACAGCAGAAAAGATCTGCCAGCTCCCAGCTGCTCCCTGCCCACCTTCACACCCACCAGGATTTGCCTCTACTGCCCTCTTCCCCTTGCAGCAGTTGCTGAGATGCTCTGGCTCCCTCTCTGGGCCATTCCTCTTTGCAGCAGCAGCAGCTGAGGAACCCATGGAGCAGAACACAACACCTCCCACCCTGGGCAGCGCCTGACCAGAGGCTGGAGGGCAGCCCTAAGGCCTGTTAATGATTTACCTTCATTCTGTCCCTGGAGAAAGGTTTGTAAAGAACAGCGCAGCCAGTTGGGTTGCTCAACACACCAGGCAGAGGGGAAGCAGCACTTCCCCTGCAGGAGCAAGAGATATCCTGCAACACAGATGTGTTAATTCACACAGTTCAGCTATGCAGGTTTCCTACAAACACCTGCTTTTTGTTTTTTTTTGTCACTCCACTCTCAAGCATGAATTTATTGAGGACCTATTTGCTGCACCGCTTCACTCCTGCAGCTCCTGATGGCTTTCCTAAAAGTCATCATTAAAAGGATGCGAGCCCAGCTGCTCCTCCCTTCACCCCAGAAGCAGAGATACCAATTTCTGCTTCTTGACTGCCTGCAGTGTGAGAAAAACACCAACCAGATCAAAGCATTGCCACAATTACACTTCAATCAGAGGCGAAATGAAGCTAATGGCTGTCAGTGCTCATCCCAAAACCTCTGGAAGCTGAACCCACACTCCCAGCTCTTTCAGCAGCTCTCTGGGGACGAGCCCCCCTTCTACCCACACCAGAACCAGCCACGTATGTTCAGAATGGCATCACACAGCACAAGAGATGGGTTGGGGCACCTCCTGGTCACTCACACACATCACTGCTCTCCAGCTTGTTCCCTGTGAAGGCTGTGCTGACCCACATCAAAAAGGTTCTGGGGAAGAACACCTATTTGTGCCTGCTGAAGGACATCAGCCCGAGGTCATTCAAGTCCCCACACTCTGCCAAGTGCTAATGCCAATCCAGCACAGCCACTGCAGAACACCTCTAAGATACATAGATTTCATTTTTCTTGTGGGTTAGAGTTCTGCTCTGCACACAACTGCCCCAAGAACAGCTGAGCCCTGCGCCAGGCTACTGCTGGCAGAAATACACAAGGGGATTAAGCAAGCAGCTTTTTTGGGAGGGGGGAACAGTAAATTCAAAGAAAGAAGGAATACAACCAGGGCAAAGAGCATGGAAAGGGCCTACTAATACAGGGGAGCCATACCCTGGTTTTCCCCCCAGTTTTTATTGTTCAGGCACAAGCACCCTGCTTCTTGTAGGCAGAAAGGTCAGAGATGGTGCTCAAAGCAGTTCTAACCAGATTCCTCTTCCTCCCCCTTCCACTCCAATGGAGCTGGCAAAAAGGAACCCGGATCAGTGCGACGTACCCTAAACAGGGATGCAATTCCTACCTGCAATCCCACCCCAAGCAGTTACAGCTTTAAGAGCATCAACTTTGAAGCAGCCTGAGGTCACAGCAGACCTCAAAACCCTGCTCTGAGCCCCAAGGTGGCTTACAGTAAGTGGCACAGCAGAAATATGCACTGCTCGTGCCAGCCAGCCTGCCACAGGCAGGGGAGCAGCCTGGGACCAGCCCTCCACAGGAACAGAGCACCTCAGCACACCTCAGAAGCTGGCAGCCAGCAGCTGAGCAAGGTGCTGTATGGAACAGGAAGCTGGGAGACTTTCAGAACACAGCAGGGCCCCGAGTGCCACAACACCGCGCTCAGTTTCCATCAGCAGCACCAGAGCTGCACTTCCAGTAAGGGCTATAAATAACAGCAGAGGGAAAGCCAAACAGCCACCTACGTGCAGTGCAGAGGCAGGGAAAGGGAGAGAACCCCCAGCACACAAAGTGTGGATGTGCTCCTTACCCACCTGCCCTGGGCACAGCCCACGCCGTCCCTCAGCACCTCTGCGGCCACACCAGGACAGCCAAGCACACCTGCACTTCACACACCAGTTCTGCACAGATGGAAGCTCAGGCTTTCCAGAGACCAGGGCAGAGAAAGTGCAAGATAAATAGCAGTGAAGAGCTGACAGCTGGTGTACAAATATACTGGCAGACAAACGTACAGGTCCCAGGCACTGGGGAAGAAGCATGTTATAGAGATTTCTCTGCCATTAAGTGTTTATGAGGCTGCAACTCAATCCAGCAACTCGAGGCTAGGCATATTCAGTGAGGAAAGGAATCGCTATGATACACTGAAGTCAAAAGCTTTCAGGCCAATACAGCACCCAGACAGTCCAGACAGGTAGAAGTTGGAAATCCAAAGCAGAGCTGTAAGAAATAAGGGCTGGGACCTGCGAGTGTAGGGGCTGCAGAGGCCAAACCTGCTGGAAACTACCATGGACTTCTACATGAGAGGAAGAAGAGGACAGGGGAGGCTGGGCATGATGAGTCGACTGTAGTTCCTAGGAAGCCATTCCAAGCAGAAACCCTCCAGCAAACCCTCCAGTCAGGATAACATTCTTCTTCAGAAATATGATCACCTAAGCATGGGAGAGAAGAGCCAAGAGTGTTACCCCAACAGCAGCAGTCTCTCACCCACCCTCCCCACAGTAAGGCACCTCAGGCTGCTCTCTGTGGTGGGTAATGCTTGGAGCAATGCTCAGCCCCTGCAAAGTCCCCCCCCCCAAGCTCCCCACTGTACACACAGCTCCTGAGCTGTGACACAGCCCCAGCACAGCCCAGACCCTCCAACAGCTGTCACACAGCTGGAGCCCACTTGCACCCCATATCAGACACGTGAGGCTCTGCCACAGGCAGCACACTGTGACAATGGCAGAAGGGGCTGCTGACAGCACGCACGTGCTGCACCTCATGCTGCAGAGCCCAGTGCAACCAGGCCACTCCGCTGCTAGACCTGCTTAGTTTTCCCTCCCCACCCCTGCAACGCCAGCACAGGAGCTTCTTGAGCCTCCCTCCCCACCCCTGCAATCCCAGCACATTTTCTTTTAACCCCAAGGAATTTCCACAACACACAGTGAGCTGGCATCACACCAACGTGCCTCAAATACTGTTTGCCATCTCACCAGTTTTGTTTTTACACAAGCACTCCCCCTTTGCACGTGCATAACAGAAGAACCCAGGAGTCCATCCCATTTCTCGCTGTCCCTCCAGCAGGATACCTGCACCCACCTTGAAAGAGTTGTCTCACCTCATCCACTTTGCTTTTCACTTCTGGAGACATTTTGTTACTGCTGCTGTGAAATTTCAGCTGCTGCTTGGCTTTGTTCACGTCGCGTTCCACGAGCTTCCAGTCAACTTTGATGTATCCTGTATGGTTTGCAATCTAGAATTTCGAGAGGTGGAATGAAAGACTGAAAGTTCTGTCAGAACAGAACCCTCCTGGCTCACCCACCCACCCCTTCTCACACCCTGGACCAGGAGGTCAAGAGAGGATGAGCACACGAGCTTAAACAGCAGCCCAAGCATCACTCGTGTGGCTGTATTAACTGTCCTGCAGCATCTGCCTCCCTCAGTAATCCTCTAGAAGAAGGGCACGCTGCAGCTTACCCCGTTTCAGCCCCTCCTCTACCACAAAGCTGGCATCCCCTCCCCCTCACAACTGCCACGTCCGCTGCTGGGACGCTCTGCAGCTCTCCTGCTGTGGGTGGACTCTGCTATTAATAGCCAGTATTTTATCTGGTCAGGATGATTCAAGGGTGAAGCTCTCCGGGCTCAGAGCAAGCTTTGGGCAAAACAAGCAGAACAGGAGGAGTGAGATAGAGCACCTCAAGAGCAAACAACCAAAGGTTGCTGAGTGAGCCTCCTGTGGGAGGTCCAAGCTGCATTTCAGGATATCCAACAGGTTCCCTCAGTTCCAGAGTTCTTAGAAACCAGAAGGACCAGAGAGTTTCCTCCTCCTCCTCGGCACATTACAAAGATCCTCATCTGTTTTAGCCAGACTCCTCAGGTAGCAGATCAGAGATGCAAGTAAATGTTCTAATTAACTTCATAAGCAGCATTTCAGCACAGCTCCAGTTCTAACAGGCTGTGGTTACAGCACTTGTGGGGATGGGGCTGCCAAGGACCGTGTGCCCACAGCATGCAGAGCTGTGCAGAGCAGGGAATGCCCCACACGCCCCAACAAGCAGCCATCAGACACAACCCATCCTCACCACCAGCACTTTCCAGGAGGCCTGGCCCACCCTTCACACCCACCTGAAGCAGGAAAAAGCCACCTCCCACCGCCGTTGCTGCCAGCTTTCCAACCTTCTGGAAGATGAATCCAGTACACCTGCAAACCAACCAGGATCCAGTGAGAACAGGACACCACTCACATCCCTCAGCACACATCCCACAGACAATTCTGCCTTTGGTGCTAATTGCTCAGTGCTCAGAGACAGCCTGAATAACAGCACAAGCAGAGAAAAAGGGAAAGAATTTGTGCCCAGCCAAGTGGGACGCTTTACAACTTTCTACTCCTCACTATGGCATTTCAGGCTTTCCAGAGTTGTGACTCTTCTGTCTTCAACACCAGTGCTCTCCCAAAAGCAAACTGCAAACACGTGATTTAACTAAAATCAACACGTGCTTTTGGCAGGGTGCTTTTCGTTTTTTTGAGTAGCAGCATTTGTGAAGGAATTTCTTCACGGTAAGGGTGATGGAGCACTGGAACAGGCTGCTCAGGGAGGTTGTGGATTCTCCTCTGGAGATGTTCAAGACCCAGCTGGATGCCTACTTGTGCAGCCTGCTGTAGGGACCTGCTTTGCAGGGGGGTTGGACTCAAAGATCTCCAGAGCTCCCTTCCAGCCCCTACGATTCAGTGATCATCTTCAAAAGGAGAGCTGGCAGCACGCCTGCTGCTGCTCCACAGAAGAGCACAGAAGGCAGATCACAAGGCTACAGCTTCTTCGTTGCCCAAACAACTTTTACTTTCATTTCTCAAATGAGAAGTTTCTGATGCAATGGTTCAAAGTTACACTAGTCTCAAACATGGTTTTACACTTTCAGCATTGCTGTAGCCACCAGAGCTCCAGCAGGCAGCACCCCGAGTGCAGAGCTGGGCGTACTGTGTCACACAAACCAGCCTTTGCTTTGACAACAGTTCCCCCATCAGCACAGCAAAACAACACAGCAAGCTGCTCTTGCTCATTTTTGAACAGAAACACTTGGTGAAGTTACCCAAGAAGCCACCAGCTTGGATATGCTAGGACAGAACAATCCATCACACACTTTTATCTCTGTGTCACATAAAGACGGTGACAGCAAGATGCTGTGAGCAGAGCCACAAGCTCCAGCCAGAGCACCTTGAACCCCAGGCAGGCAGTGTGCCCACAGCACCAGTGTGCAAGGCACGGCCAGCTGCTCCCAGCGAGGCATTGGCACAGACCCCACAGCCACCCCTCAGGGAGAACACTGCTGGAAGAGCGAGGACTGCCTTCACCACACAGAACTGCCACTCACCATCCCGTCACCCCTCCGATCACCAGCTGCGTGGCCACGTTGTACTTCTCGGCGCTCGACCCGGAGCTGGGAGCAAAGACCTTCTTCCACCACGGCCGGCTCTTGGTGTACTCGGCCAGGTCCAGCACGTTGAAGGCGTCCTCCTTCCTTCCTGCGGGAGGGCAGGCACGGAGCTGAACGACGGAGCCACCAAGCTTCCCGCCTCGCAGGACTCGCCCTCACACCCCGCCCAGGCCTCACCCCACCGCTCCAGCGCTCCGGGCCCCTGAGGGAACTCGGCGGGCTTCTGGGCCCGGCTCCTCAGCGCGCACAGGCGCAGGCCGCACCGCCCGCCCGAGGCGTCGCTAATGGAAATAGCGCCTCATAGACCCCACGGGGAACGCCGAACCGGACCGCCCAGCCGCCGGGATATGGGACCGGGAGAAGGAGCCGCCCCGGTGGGACGAAGCCTGACACCGCCGCCCACCTCCGCCCGACGCAGCCATGGCGCCGCTCCGCTCTGCCACCGGACCGCCCTCACTGCGCATGTGCACCGCCACGCCCCCTTTTACGCCTCATCACGTGGCTCCGCCCACGTAGTAACCACGCCCATCGTGATGCTCCGCCCCCCTCCTCCCACCCCACCCCCGTAGCCCCGCCCACTCGCAGGTCCTGATCTCCGGGGCACCCGCGTGGATGCGGGGCACGTGGCTGTGGCGTGGACACGGCAGTGTGGGGCTCACAGCTGGGGGTCACAGCGAACGTCGGCTTTCTGTAGGGCACAGCAGGTCTGGCTGAGCTCTGAGCACGCAGTGCCGAGGGCTGGAGGTGGAGGGGGTAGGGAGGGCAGGTAGACCCATGCCCCCAGTGACCATGCTCTCATGAACACAAAGAAAAGGAGACAGCACTTTGTGAAGGTTTATTGACTCTCTTGCAAACACAAAGTTCCCGTGTGCTCTTCGGGTTGCCAAACCCCACAGCACTGCTCGGCATCCCCCCCCATGCTCCCAGCAGCTCCATTCATCCCATGTCCAAGTGCAGCTCCTGTGTGTGCAGCATGGTGGTGGCCCTTTGGTGACCCAGTAATCAGATGTAGCTGTTAGTGAGACTGTCGGACAGATCCTACACCGACTACTGAGCGGCCAAGGGCACCGTGTCTCCGCTGGGGCTCCATCCTCCAGGCAGGGCTGGTGATGAGCAGAGGGATGGCTGTGGCAATGGAACAGCTGGCTGCCCTCTAGCAGCATTCTATCTTGGAAACCCCACACCAACACTGATGTCAGGCAGCGTTTGGCTCCTCTGCATGTCCGCATTGTGGTCACTAGCTCTGTATCCCTCAGGGCAGGGCCTTCCCTCATGCCCCCCACGGTGCCAGCTGGGTCCCCCCTGAACATCTCCAAAGTCCCCACTGTCCCCAGTATTGATGACATGGCCTCGTCCTTCCCCACGCACGTGCACTGTAGCCTGAGATGGGCACTCAGCTTCCTCCTGCAGTGGGGAAGGAGCTGTGCTGCCAGCACTGGGGGTCCCTGTGCTCCAGCTCAGAATGGAGGGTGGCACCTGTGCAGCCTGCAGCCATCAAGGCTCCACTGCCAGGCACCAGTCTCACTCAGCCCAGGGAGTGCAAGCCCAAAAGCCATTCCCTGTCTCAAATACTTCCTGTCCCTCCCAGTGCAACCGCCACCTCCTAGCCCACATGGCCGGGTGACCCAACGCTCAGCGTGACCTGCACCAGGCAATGAGCATCCAACAAAACCATCTTCCCCCAGCAAGCCCCCTCTTGCAGAGCCCCTCCAAAATGCTGGGACCCCCCCTGGGTGCCCCACTGCTGCACCATACCTGGCCATCTCCACCAGACAGCGTGGTCCTCTGCCAAAAGCACGTGTCCTTGGTGCACGGGGCCACGGAAGGCTCCAGGCTGCTACCGTGGTGGCTCAGGGGGACATCTATGTGCCACCACCCTCATGGCCATCGTTCACTGCTGAGGCTGCAATGGAGAGATCTGCTTTTAGTACGGCGAGAAGCGAGGGCTGAATTCCCCTTCCCCTGGCTGGGACGTCCGTGGTGGTGTCACACAGCTGTGCTGGGACAGCCCCGGCACCGCGGCTGTTCAGGGACACGCTGCAGTGCACAGAAAGGAAATTTGCAGCCCAGCCCCGTCAGAGCAAGAGCACGGGGATTTTCAGCGGGGTTTCTCTCTCTGCCCCTGCCTCTCATTCTCTCTTCTCGTTTTCTGGAAATGAAACAAACTCAGGCTCCGGCTTTTTGTGTCGCTTTGGTGGGGGTGACTGCCCTTCTCCTTCGTTCCCCTGCGGCTGCAGTGGGGATTTTTGTCTCTGGATGGCTCCATCTCACACGGCTGCTCCCTCTCTTGCCGACCCCACGGGATTGGATTGGGCAATGGGGACCCCTGTGGTGCTGCGTGCTGCATCCCAGCAATGGGCAGCAGCTTCGGGCTGCGCGGGAGCTCTCTGTGCATCTGTTTCTTCTCTGCAATGACTGAGGGAGGATTTTTCTGGGACAGTTCTGAACCAGTCATCCCCGTGGAGTGACGCTCAATTGCTGTTGTTAAATTTAGCCCTGTCTGGGGCTCGCCAGGAGCTGTGCTGGTGCAGGGATGCCTGAGCTGAGAGGTGGGGGACGGGGAGGAAGGGCAGTGTCAGGCCCTGAGTGCAGCCACTGTGGGGTGGAGAGGATATGTGTCTGAGTCCAATCACCTCTGGAGGTCTGGGGTTTACTTCAGCCTCCCATTTTGGCATCTGAGATGATAAGCTGGGCACCAAAACCTGCTCAACTCAGTGTATGTAAACCCATCTCCAGGCTGACCCAGCAACATCATCCTGCAAAGCAATTTCTCTGAGCTTCATTTAATCAACCAGGGTAATTAGGTGATTTAGGAAGGACTGCGTGCCTGGAGGCTGCTCTGCTTCTCCCAGAGCTGAACTCTTTTAGCATTGTCCCTGCAAAGGCAGTGGCTGTGGGAGCATCCTCTGGCAGTGGGCCCCCCTAAATGCACGTCCCCCCTTAAATACATGTTCCCTCTAAATGCACATCTCTGCCTAAATGCACATCTCCATTCAACTCCACAGGTGCATTTTGGGAGCACAGCCACAATGCTCCACCATCTGAGCCATCCAGAGCTGCCTCCAACACGGGAAACAGGAGAGGAGAGCCGCCTCACTGCCCCATTTACTGCAGGGAGAGGAGGAGAGGGGGGACCCACTTTGGGACCTGCTCCATGTTGGCATTTCTGCTCTGGGGCTGTGCTGAGAGAGCTCAGAGCTGGGTACATGGGCTCCCACAGCCGTGGGTGGGATGCTCAGTGTGGGGCTGCATCCCTTTTTTTGGGGGTTGGGGCAGCAACTGCACCCAGGAGGGCCAGGTGTTTCCCCATAACCCAGAGCTTTGGTGCTAAAGGAAGAACTTCTGCCCACAAGGATGGAGGAGGTCGGAATCCCCAACAGCATCCTCTGCTTTGGCCGAGGGCCGGGGATCCGCCGTGGTGTGCAGCACCGTGAGTCAGCATGGCCTGGCTCGAGGCAGGCATGACCACTGCATTGGGTACGTGCCAGCCAGCAGCGTGTGCCTGCGAGCCCACGTGGCGAGGCTGTGCCCTGGGCACACAGGAGGAGAGATGGGTATCACAGCCCTCAGGTCCCTCGTTGTCACTGTGCCCTCTGCCCATGCGAGTGCTGGGAAGGGCGCACTCCATTCTCTGCATTCCTGAGAAGCCACCGTGAGTCACTCACACACACACACACACATAGACACACACAAAAAGTCCCAGGAGAGATTAGACACCGTGCACCAAGTTCTGAGTCATTTCTACCCGCCCCAGCCCTGAGATGTGCGCAGTTCGGAGAAACAACTGGCGCTTTCTGCCTGCACGTGGGTCCTTGGCACACCCCAAGCTGCATTCTTCTGATGCCAGCAGTCAGGCCTGGCTTTCCCACCCCATCTGCACTGCAGGATGCTGCCCTGGAGCAGCTTCTGAGGATGTTTGGGGTGGGTGGATGTGCCCAACAATGCACCCCGGGCAGGACGCAATGCCGATGCCATTCTCCAGCATCACCCATCCCAGTGCAGGCGATGCTGATACTCTGCAGTGGCGCTGTGCAGCTCTGCAGAGCCCTCAGAAATGCTGAGCAGTGGTGGGGCCGCTCCTTTGCTCCTTCCCCACATCGGCCAGGTGGTTCCTAGCAACTCCCTGTCTAGTGCCCCTGCATTACTCATGGCAAATAGCAGTGCTGTTTGCTCTCAGACAAACCCTCCTGGGGCTTTGTCTGCAGATCACATAAACCATTCGGCAGCAGCAGAGCACCAGGTGCCCTTCTGTTTCATTTCTGGATCCTCTTTTGATATTACAGATCATATTCCTTCTGCAATCTCTTATCAGACCCCATATCCTGCCCACTCTTCCATCCCTGGGACAGGAACCTGGGGCTGCATCCTGGTTGCTGGAAATGGTGAAACCCAGCAATCCATCAGCACCTGCCTGTGCCAAGAATGTAACTTCTGTCAGTGCCTGGGCTGCTGCCACTGCAGCCCAATCTGTGATCTGAACGCCCAGAGCGTCCCTTCCCATCCCTGACCCCAACCTGCACTCTGCCCCCTCACCGTAGCTCTATCTGCTTGGTGACATTGTTCCTTTCCAGCCTTTCCGGGAGCACACAGTCCTGCAGCTCCAGGAGATTCCCAGGCAGGGACGACTGGAAGGGAGTCACGTCCATGCAGTGGGGAGCATTGCCAGCAGCACGGCTGTCTGCTCTCTGCCCATCGCTCCCAGACCTGGCTCTGCCCTTTCTCTCCCAACACGGGGTGATATCCCTTATAACTCCTTGCACTGAGTGGTGTGACAGCTTCCCTGTGTGAGCAGGGACCCCACGTTGCCTTGCTCCAAGTTGTGGGGACATGAGCAGGGGTGAGCAGTGACCAAGGTGATGGAAGGATGGGAAGAGTTTGTCATGGAAAGCCACTGCTCCGCTCAAGGACATGGCTGTGGGGCCAGGTGCAAAGCACCCGTCTGTGACACACTGCTTGTTTTGTCCCAAAATATTGTCTGGGGATGGATTTTCCCCTTGGAGTTGCCATAGGGAGCAGGTGGGATGAGAGGGGATGTCCCCATTGGGGAACGGACCTGTGCTGGGGATGAGGATGGAGGATGGAAGGTGTCCCCAACCCTGTGGGGATGGGGCTGGGATGGTGGAGGTGCCAGCAATGGCAGTGGGGATGTGTTCCCCCAGCCTCACCTACTTGGATTGGCCTTACCCAGGGCACAGCTCCCAGCTCCCACCCCATCCCTGGGCACTTCATGCCAAGCATTCCCATCCAAAACCCCAAGACACCCACACCTCCATCACCCCCATCTGCATGCCCCAAACACCAGCCTGATCTCAGAGCCATCCCACAGACGTTTCTGCAGTGCTGGGGCTGCCCTTGCTTTCCTCTTACCCTGCAGTGATTTATAGGGTGCTTCCCACCTCTCTTATCCCACAGCTGCCAGGATGGCACAGAGCACTGTTCCTCATCTTCCAGCTTTTCTGGGGGATTCTGGGAATAGAACAGAGGGAGAGGAGCTTCTGGAAGGGGTGTCCCAGGTGTCTCC